CGTAGTATTTGCTACTCACCTTTGATAACATTAATTCGTGTCAGAAGAATTGAATTCATTAATTGTTTTTATTTTCATTATCAACTATCAATTGTTAGTACTGTATTTACAGAGAATTTAGAAAAAGGCTAGTACTTTCTTCGTAACTATAAAAATATGATCTTCTCAAATGCGAATATTTTATATGTATTTCATTACAGAATGTTTGAAAGATAATAAAAATAATCGAAGCTTGCAAATGAAGACGTACCGGAGAAAAAGAAGAAGAAGATTGCCTTGACGACCAGGAGGTCTCCATCCACAAAGTCGCAGAAAGGCATGATGGGAAACCTGGTCACGTGACAGATAAGTCACTCGCTGGTAACAACCTGTCAACAAAGATTTAAATGCTTTATTAAACATGATTTCCATTATATAAATCAAATCACACAATTTATATAGGTTTCTGTGCCATGCATTGCAGACAATTTTAAGATGTCTTTTATCCGTTACTGGGAATGAGTGTTAGAGCGGATGTAAATATTCTGTTGGACATAATTTCTGTTAAGTTCTGTTGTATACATTTCAGTTTTACTAGAATGCACAATTAAGACGAATCCAGACAATAAAACGACACAAATGACGTGATAAAAATGACATATTACAGTCTGGAACCGACGTTATCGTTGTATGTCACGCGGCAAAATGCCTACTTTGTACACCTAATGATTTTTTCGAAAAAAAAATGTTCAAATAATGTTTTTCTTTGCAACTTTTGCCCAGAGAGGTCCAATTTTCTACCAGAATGACAAAAGAATGAGTTTTTTATAATCTGCCAAAAAATATGTGTCATTCGTTGCCCTCTAAATGACCCCCAAATGTAATATTTCTAATTGGAATGACACTAGGATAGGGGGTGGAATGTTCTTGTTTTACATGGCACCCCCGTAAGTTCCATCGGAAGGTTCATTGCAATATTTTTGCATGTCTTTCTTTGCAATTTTTGCCCAGAAAGGTCCAGTTTTCTACTAGAATCACACAAGGAATGAATTTTTGTAATCTGCCGAAAAAATATGTCATTCGTTGCCCTCTAAATGACCCCCAAATGTTATCTTTCTGATTGGACTGACACACTAGGATAGGAGTTGGAATCCTGGCGTCATTTCAATTTTTGGCTAACTCTATATAGCTATTTGTTTAAAATGCTGGAGTCGACCGTCTACTTCTTGCTACCAAAGAAGTCTGACAAATCCAGCTTTGCAGTAGGGGTGAAAACCAGAGGTTCGACAGAAAGCAAGAAGTTCCTGTTTTACATGGCACCCCCGTAAGTTCAATCGGAAGGTCCATACCCT